TCTATCTCTATCTCTATCTCTATCTCTATCTCCATCTCCATCTCCATCTCCATCTCTATCTCTATCTCTCCATCTGCCTATTACTTACCTTTTATTTATAACGTTTATTTCTATTTCATGTTTTATTGCAATGGTCAGAAATTCTGAGAACAATGTTAACTATGAAAAATTGGCTTTATATTTTATTGCTGTTTTCTATTGGAATAGCTCTGATATCTTACTATTGTGTATGATATTTGCAAATTTAAGAGATTTATTCTCATTTTCTGCCTTTATTAGTTTGTTTGGGGGTTTTGTGAGACCTCAGGTGCAGTTCATGGTACAATGTCATCTGCTTATGCAAGGCCCCTCTAGTATGCGTTATGTATGTTTATTCCATGTATGTCTTTGTCTCCCAAAGTAACCTGGCTCGTGTGTTGAATGTGTATGTTTTTGTATGTGTTCTTTCAGACCTGCATTATTGTTTTGCTTCTTTGTATTTTTAATTTACACACTATTTATTATAGCTTATTCTGTTACTTTTTTTTCACTGAATGCTATATTTTTGAAAATTTATTTTGAAAACTACATTTTTAGGATACTTCCATATTGGGTTTATCCAATTGGTTGCCCCTAATATGTGAATAATTTTCCAGGGTGTGCATGTACATCTGCTACATTTTATCTGTCCTGGCAGCACCCACAGCCATAAGATGGCAGAGCCCAGTCCCCTGAGCCCCACCAGGGGCCTTGGGTCCTCCTGCACCCCCCACTGACTGAGGCTCAGGCAAGCAGGGCCGGCCAAGGCACAGTCAAGCCTCGGATGGCGGCTGCCCAGCTGCCAAGGGCTGGCCTGAGGCTCAGGTAACCAGGGTCGGCCAAGGCTTGCACTGCCAGCAGTGGCAGCAGCAGAGGTGTGATGGGGCGTCACCTTCCCCTGATCGCTGGGTCGCCTCCTGCCCCTGAGGGCTCCGGGACTGTGAGAGGGGGCAGGCCGGGCTGAGGGACCCCCCGCTCCAGTGCATGAATTTTCATGCACTGGGCCTCTAGTATGTGAATAATTCTCCAGGGTGTGCATGTACATCGGCTACACTTTATGGCCCCTCTAGTATGCGTTATGTATGTTTATTCCATGTGTGTCTTTCTCTCCCAAAGTAACCTGGCTTGTGTGTTGAATGTGTATGTTTTTGTATGTGTTCTTTCAGACCTGCATTGTTGTTTTGCTTCTTTGTATTTTTAATTTACACACTATTTATTATAGCTTATTCTGTTACTTTTTTTTCACTGAATGCTATATTTTTGAAAATTTATTTTGAAAACTACATTTTTAGGATACTTCCATATTGGGTTTATCCAATTGGTTGCCCCTAATATGTGAATAATTTTCCAGGGTGTGCATGTACATCTGCTACATTTTATCTGTCCTTCTCCCAGGATCTTTCAACTCCCTGGTACCAACACTGCAGTGGACACCCTCATCTCCTGCACCCCCCACTGACTGAGGCTCAGGCAAGCAGGGCCGGCCAAGGCACAGTCAAGCCTCGGATGGCGGCTGCCCAGCTGCCAAGGGCTGGCCTGAGGCTCAGGTAACCAGGGTCGGCCAAGGCTTGCACTGCCAGCAGTGGCAGCAGCAGAGGTGTGATGGGGCGTCACCTTCCCCTGATCGCTGGGTCGCCTCCTGCCCCTGAGGGCTCCGGGACTGTGAGAGGGGGCAGGCCGGGCTGAGGGACCCCCCGCTCCAGTGCATGAATTTTCATGCACTGGGCCTCTAGTATGTGAATAATTCTCCAGGGTGTGCATGTACATCGGCTACACTTTATCTGTCCTTCTCCCAGGATATTTCAACTCCCTGGTACCAACACTGCAGTGGACACCCTCATCTCTTGCCCTTAAGGGGCTGTGTGAGAATTTCTAGAGACCTGCATTGTTGTTTTGCTTCTTTGTATTTTTAATTTACACACTATTTATTATAGCTTATTCTGTTACTTTTTTTTCACTGAATGCTATATTTTTGAAAATTTATTTTGAAAACTACATTTTTAGGATACTTCCATATTGGGTTTATCCAATTGGTTGCCCCTAATATG